TGGGGCCTGAACTCTGGGCCTGGGCGCTGTCCCTCAGCTCTTCAGCTCAAGGCTAGCGCTCTACCACTTGAGCCACAGCGCCACTTCCGGCTTTTTCTGCTTATGTGGTGCTGAGGATTCGAACCCAGGGCCTCATGCATGCAAGGCAAGTACTCTACCACTGAGCCACCTTCCCAGCCCCAAGGGCTTGTCTTGGTAGATCATGCAAGGCACCCTACAGACCTATGGCTATAAAACAAGTTCTACATGATGCTGCCTCACCAGGGAGCAGTTTGGGTCATTCAAGGCTTGCAAGGTGTTACTGCACAACAGATGTAGACTCCAGGCAGGATGTGGGTCTTCCAAACCTTCAACACTTTTCCTGCCCCACAGCTGAACTAGAATAGAGTAAAACTAATAACAAAATAGATGCAAGGCCGGGCGCTGGTGGCTCACGCCTGTAATCCTAGCTAATCAGGAGGCTGAGATCTGATGAATGAACTGCCAAAAAGCAGGTGAAGTGGAGATTTGGCTCACGTGGTAGAGTGCTAGCCTTCTGCAAAATAGCTCAGGGACAGTATCCAGGTCCTGAGTTCAAGCCCCAGGACTGGCATAAAAAAAAAACAGAGACGATAGAGGTAGACATGTCAGCTGGAGAGAGGGAGAGCTCTGGCCAGCAGTCATGGCCAGCAGCACAGCTCAGCTGCAGGAAGCAGGGCCTCCTGTAGTAGATCTGGATGGAGTCGTTCTGAGATGACCATGAGCTATGAGTTGAGTAAAGAGAAAGCAGACATCTTGATGTGGAGCAGACGGTGTAGGAAGGTGTTTGGGGGTTAGGTAGCCCTGGTTTCTAATCCCTACTCTCTTAACAGCACGCTACCTAAACAAATGAAAACAACGAATCTCCCAGGAACTCACTGGTGATTACAGGTGCACATGGAGATCATTTGAGAAGCAAACTTGAATAGCAGACTTGCTCCCTCTGGGGATGCAGTGACCTTCAATATAGCGTGTCCATGTCCATCTGCTTCAGAGTGGGTTCAGCCAGTCTCACGCCCTTAAGGACACTTCAGAAACTATCCTACATGTGTTTCCCAAACTATTTTCAAACTGCAGAGTGTTTTTTCAACTAGACTTTCTCAGGAGGACAAATGTACATGACCCAAAGGCAAAAGAATCCCACCTGAATCTTCACCACGGAAGATTTGGACCCACGGAAACCTGAGCATCAGTTAGGATATGACATCTGAAACCATTAATATACAGACTACTGGCTGTACTGAAGATGCTCAGTGGGCAAGCCAAGATTCTGGGGTCCAGAAAGGGCAAACCACTGAATAACTTCGCACTCTACCCGGTCACGGAGCTCAGCTTCAGAAGCTCATTTAGTAATCAGTGCATGGGACTCCCCTGAGTATTTTCAGAGCTAAATTTACATAAGTGTATGCAAATCAATTAACATTCCCCATGTAACTCAGTTCCAGGTAATCAAATGCTAGTGGAACACAAGTGCCCCAACAAATACACCAAGAAATCAAAAGAATCAACACAATTTTCTTTCCTTCCTTCCCTTCTTCCTTCCTTCCTTCCTTCTTTCCTTCCTTCCTTCCTTCCTCATTTCTTTCTTTCCTTCTCTTCTTTATTTTTCCTCTTTCTTCCTTTTTCTTTCTTCTTTCTTTCCCTTTTTCTTTCATTCTTTCTGTCTTTCTCTCTTGCTTGCTTTTCTGAGTATCTATGAACAAACAGCTGATAGTCTGTGGGATAAAATGAGACTGAGATTTCCATTTCACACTAGCGATGTAGGGAATTGGGATCCGGGCATGAGAAAGGCTACACTGATGTAATGTAAGCCATGAATGGCTGCAATGCCTCACTAAGAATGACATGCCAGTGTATCACTCCAGGTGATCATGACACGTGTACAAGCATGGTACAGGATTCTGACAATAGGGAGAGGCTACAGGTGTGTTCTCGGGCAGGAAGAACATATGACTGTCCATACCTTCTTCTCAATTGTGCTGTTTTGTTCTAAAAAAAAAAATAAAATCTATTAAAAAATAAAAACGAATGCTTAGAGAATACATATCTCAATTTTGTAAAGCAAAAAATGAAAGACAAAAGATTTCTAAGAGGGCCTTGCTTCCTTCAACAGTAAGCATGGGAGTTTGGAAAGTAAAGTCAGAAGGCTGAGTTAATTCACTTCCCGAGGTCAAGGATTTGCTGATTTCCCCAGGGAGGGAGGCATTCTGCTCTGAGATGAAACCAAACAAGGGGTACAAGAGCCCTGCGTTGAGAAAGAGCCTCTCAGGTCATGTAAGGACCAGGGCCTTTTGGACATAAACAACATTTTTCCCATTATTCAAGCAATAACTTTCCTGTAATAGGAGTTATATAAAATAAACTGCCAGTGGGGGAAAGCAAAGACAGGGATGACATTGTCCAATAAAAAGAAATGTACTAGCCGGGCGCCAGAGGCTCACGCCTATAATCCTAGCTACTCCAAAGGCTGAGATCTGAGGATCTCGGTTCAAAGCCAGCCTGGGCAGGAACATCCATGACACTTTATCTCCAATTAACTACCAGAAAACCAGAAGTGGAGCTGTGGCTCAAGTGGTAGAGTGCTAGCCTTGAGCTTGGGACAGTGCCCAGACCTAGAGTTCAAGTCACACAGCCAACATAAAAAAAAAAAAGAAATAAAGAAATGTACTTAATACCTGACCTACAAAATAGTAACCCCTCACAATAACAATAAAATTATTAATTAATAAATGATCCTGTCACAGGAATACAGTAGAAGGCAAACTCCTCTTCCTCCTTGTCAGTATGTATGGCCAAGCACAGGGACACCTCCCTACCTCTTGGCTAAGTTTCTGCCCAGTATCTGTTACCTAGGTAACTGGCAGACCTGGAAGCAGTCACCTTCCCCTCCTGCTAGGTCAGATCCTGGGCTGCCTCTGGTCACATGCCTCCCATCTGACCTGAGGAGGGTCCCAGACTCTGAAGTCACATCTGGGTCCAGTGTGGCCACACCTTTCGCCCACCTGGCCACATCTCTTCCTGTCCCTGGCCTAGATAAGTCCTGGCCCAGGGGTGGGTCACCCCTTCCTTTGCAGCCATACCTCTCCACCATGCATTGCTGGGGCAGCAGTTCAGTAAATAAACTTCTTTTCCTGCCTGAATAGTGCATGGTGTTCTCTTAATTGGCTACCTAATGAAACCTACCTAGTTAATATGCCTTACACTCTACCCACATCAATTCTTGCTATGTGAGTTGAGTACCCTCAAAAAATACATATTGAAGCACCCCAGCATTTCAGAATATGGCCTTATTTGAAAATGAGCTCTTTACAGAGATAACCAAGACACAGTAACTTGGACCAAGGTGGATGTTAACCCGATTAGACCAGCAGCCATATGAGAAGGGGACATTTGGACACAAAGAAAGACTGTGTGAAGACACAGGAAGAATGCCACCCCAGGCTAAGGAAAGCCTGGGGCCACTGGAAGCCAGGGGATGTGCACAGAAGCAGTCTGCCAACCCCTGGCATTCGAATTCTAACCTCCTCCAGGACTGGGAGCTAGAAAATACCTCCCATTCCACCCAGTTTTGGTGATCTTTTGTTACAGCAGCTCCGGGAAGACGAGGGACGTGAAACCCTCCATCTATTCCCATGCCCTGGTAACCCAGAGGTGACCGTGGAATACAGACTGCATCCCATCAGTGGAAGTCAGCACCTACAGGTGCACCTATGGGAATGTTTGCTTTCAGCAGTGGCAGGATTATTGGTGATGGGACCTAAGATCAGGAAGATTAGGGCCATGGAGACAATCTTGGGCTCTTTAGGACAAAGTGTGCCCCACTGCACCCTAAGAGCACTCAGATTAAGACATTTTCTTGTGATGGAAGGAGAGCCATACGAATGTCTAAAGCAGAGCAAAGAGGCTGTGGAGGTCAATATATGAGTAGCTCTGACTTTAATGCAGGAAATGACACAATGCTGATCATGGCCATAATGCTCTCTGCCCATGATCAGGTCTCATCCAGATGATTAGTCAGTTAGGAAACACCTCAAAGGAAAGAACATTTTGCCTCAAACTTCTAAAAATGTGGTAATTTTCTGCCATTGTGCAAGAAGCCACTATTTCATAAACACCAGCTATGATGTTCTGAAATGTCAAGACTCAATAAGGTCTAAGAACTCCTTTAGAATTTGAGGGGCTCCACAGCAGGGGCTTCCTCTAAGGCAGTGGTTTTCAGCTGGGGGGGTGATGTTGCTCTTGGGGGCTTTTTTAGAAAGGTCTGGAGACTCCTGTGGTTGTTATCAATTAGGGTGAGAGAAGCTATCGGTAGTGAATGGGCATTTCTAACCATCCTCCTCTAACTGAGTGGCTTGAGAAGAATGTTCTGGCCTACAGTTCCAGAGGTAGGATTGTTACGTGAAGACGCTGTCAGGAACGGCTCCCTCTGAGCGTGTGATGATGAATCTCTTCTATGGTGTCATCTAGCTACAGTCAGGCCTTCCTTGGCTCGAGTTCTTTCTCTCTCTCTTCACGTTGTCCTTTCTGTTTCAGTGCTCCAAAGCACAGGACAATGTCCACAACTAAAGATTTATTGGTCTAAAATGTTAGTCGTTCAGAGGCTGCTCTAAGATATATAAATAAATAAAGCTTTGCTAAAGAAAATGAACTTTTGCCAGAAGGAGACATACCCATCGCAAGTAGAAATGACTTACTGGAGAAACGTGGGCGATGTCCTCAGCTCTACCAAGAACTGCAAATCCAAGCGAGAGAAAACGGGCAGCCAAGGGGTCAATAAGAGAAGCGAGGTTCCGCAGGTAGGCTTGGACACAAAGCAGAGAAGGCACGGGGCCAAGCCTCCCGGGCTCTCGGGAGTGTTAACCCCGGGGCCGTGTGTGCAGCGTGAGCGGCAGCTGACAGGGGAATGAGCCTCCCTGACACTTACACACTCATCAATTTGTAAAGCTTGCATTCTTAAAAACATTTCTAAGACAATATATGAAATCCATTTTCTCCTGATTTGACTTGAGGATGAGTCACACAAGACACCCGCTATATGCTTAATTTCAGGCTTTTAAAGAGGGAGAACAGCTATTGGGGAAAATTACAGGGTAAGAAAGGCCGACAAAAGCACTGAAAAGATTCTGAATCATTCTAATTTTTATGGGGAGCTGGGGAAAGGCAAATTCAGCTTAACCAATTTACACCATTTTGCTTTAGAAAATAAATGTATATATCACGCTGACAACTGAACACCATGATTTCATAAGCTAGTATTAAAATCGTTTTAGAGAAGAATAAAGAAAACCTGGAAATATCGAAGAGGAAGCAATAAACTACATGGCCAATAAAAAGTAGCTATTGAAAAATACTGATTGCCACTCAAGATAAATAATGGAGTTTTTCTTACTCTGGTAAAAAATTTCCTCAGTCAGGTACCTGTAGGTAAACTGAGTTAGAAAGAGAAGAGAGTTAATCTCACAGATCCATATATATTACATGGTAGAATTTGGCCAAGCAGCCCTGTGTGTGTAAACATTTTATACACAAACAGAATCCTAAAAATGATTGGCTAAAGAGGTAATGGGGTCTCTTTTAAGCATGTACAAAATCTAGACTTTTTTTTTTTGGTTGGTCATGGGGCTTGAACTCTGGGCCTGGGCACTGTTCCTGCACTCTTCAGCTCAAGGTGAGCACTACAGCACCACTTCTGGTTTTCTGGTGATTTATTGGAGATAAGAATCTCACAGACTTTCCTGCCTGGGCTGGCTTTGAACCATGATTCTCATATCTCAGCCTCCTGAGTAGGTAGGATTATAGCCGTGAGCCACTTTGCCCAGCTAAAATCTAGACTTTTTAAAAAAGAATTTAATTTTTTAACATTGCAAGAAATTGGAAAATGTATCCTTGAACTGCTCTTAAATAAATTTTGTTGTATGTATTAAATGTATATGAAGTAACATTATCATGTTCATCTATAGCAGAATGGATCTATCTTGAAACTAATGAATATACCCATCATCTCTCATTCACCCAATGTCCCGGATGCCTTATAATCCTAGCTACTCAGGGGGCTGAGATCCAAGGATCAAAGTTCCAAGCCAGCTGGGGCAGAAAAGTCTGAGACTCCATCTCCAAAATAGCCAGCAAAACATTGGTATAGAAGTATGGCTCCAGTGGTAGAACGTCAGCCATGAGTGAAAAAACTAGAGCAAGAATGTGAGGTCCTGAGTTCAAGCCCCAGGACCAGTGACTGATTGATTGATTGATTGGCAGGCAAGCACATTCCATAATCTCCGGATTCCCAGGCTCACAGTGCCATAAGCAAGTGTGTGGTAGAGACAGGATCCAATGTCAGGCAGGCCCAACTCTAGAGCACATCATAGTCAGTGTGTCACCTGGGTACTAGGTACAGGTGAACATGAGATACCCACTGTGAAAGGATACTTTTCATTCATTGCTGAGTGAGCTCCGAGGAAACTCATCTACAACCCCCACACACTCACCCTCTCCCTGCTCTCCTCCTGGTCACCCAGTTCTCGAATCCTCTCCAAAATGGCATCCTCTGTGGACCCGCTCTTCTCCAACGTGCAGGGAAGGAGGGCTGCGATCTGCTGCCTAAAAGTGGCATTCTGACTTTGCAAGGCCATGGCTGCCTCCCGGCTGGCCTGCAAGCTCGTCTCCAGCTCCTGGGTGCTTGTCTTCAGGAGGCTCACTTCCTGCTTTGAGGTGGCCCAGGCCCGCTGGCCAGTAAGCAGCCTCTCTTGGAGGATCTTTACTTCTTCTCCAAGAGCCTCTTTGGCCTCCATAGCACCAAGCAAGTCCTGAAATAATGGCAAGGTGAAGGCAGTCACAGTAGTAGCCCCACAGTGCACCTGCAGCAAGTACCGCTCGCTGTTCACTTACCTTCCATACAAGGACTCCAGGGTAAATGCTCATTTCAATTTGACTCTAAGTTTTCTATTGTCTCTTTGTGGGGTTTTTTGTTTGTTTTGGTTTCGGTTTGGTTTTTTTGACCAGTCCTGGGGCTTGAACTCAGGGCCTGGGCACTGTCCCTGAGCTTCTTTTGCTCAAGGCTAGTACTCTACCACTTGAGTCACAGCACCACGTCTGGCCTTTTCTGCTTATACGGTACTAAAGAATAGAAGCCAGAGCTTTGTGCATGCTAGGCAAGCATTCTACCACATTCCCGGGCCTTCTACTGACAATGAATACCCTTTAATCCTGTTTAAAACCAAGACTAGCAAGCTGGGTACCAGTGGCTCAAGCCTATAATCCTACCTATTTAGGAGGCTGAGATCTGAGGATGGCAGCTTGAAGCTAGTCTATGAGACTCTTATCTCCAATTAACCAGAAAAAAAATTGGAGGAAGAGCTGTGGCTCAAGTGATGGAGTGTTAACCTTGAGCAAAAAAAACTATGGGATGGCACCCAGGCCCTGAGCTCAAACCCCAGTAGTGGCACAAAAAGGAAGGGAAGAAGGAAGGAAGGGAGGGAGGGAGGGAGGGAGGGAGGGAGGTAAAGAAGGCAAGCAGGCACAAAGTAAGAAAGAGAGAAAGAGGAAGAGAGAGGGAGGGA